TTGTCTATAATTCTCCTCCTTCCAGAAGGATGGTCAGAAATAGACCTTAATTCTAAAAGGCTCCAGCAAGTGTCTCGCATTACATCTTGTGCCATCTCTCTCCATTTTGTTTTCTTTTCCTTTGCACACTGTAGCTATTAAAAAACCTCAAACCAGTAATTTAGTTTTAAAAACAAAATGGATGGCAGTTCACAGCTCCAAAACTGGACCTTACTGTTACTTAATGCCCAGGCTCCTATCAGTACATCAGGTAATGCAAATAATGTACAGTTTCCACCTCAAAATAGAGATGTTAAGTTTCTAACGACATATAGAATGATGTAAAAATCTATATTGGAAGACAGGCTCACTTTTTTTTGTTTGTATTGTGCTTATACTTTTAAATAAAAAAAGAAAAGGTGGAGAAGGTCAGATGGGCTGGGGAAAAAGTTTAGAGGAGAACTTGTGCCTCCTCTTCTGTGCAACCCCTCACGTGCTGCATCCCTTGCCACAAGCTCACAGGGGCAGGGTGAAACCTGGGCAAAGGGTGAAAGGCACAGAGAGATTTTGCACATGGATCATCCCTGTCTCTAATCCTGTCCCTTTGCTCCTCCTTCCGAGTCGATGTGTCAATTACAACTCTGGTGTTTCGTACAGGCTCTTCCCTCGCCAAGGTCCACCTCAACACCCAAAACACTTGGAAGACCCTGATTAAAGAGCTATTACAGCTATTCCTCCTCCTCAATTCACTCATTTTTAAGCAAAGCTGTCCTAAAACAGCTCTTTAAAAAATGGGATATTTTCTTCATAATTGGCTCATCAAAAGCCCAGTACTTGTTGTTCAGAGCATTCATTCTTTGAAATTGTGCCTCACTGAAATTTTTGATAGGCAATTTATCTAAAATACCCATAAATATCCTTAACCATTTCAAATGGAAACAATGTGTCCCACATTGAGTCAGATTTTGTATTCAATGTCAGAAATACGTGACAGGTGTTGTGCCCTGTTAATGATGATAAGGCTAACAGCATGGATGATTCACCATAGACGGTAGATTTGTCATTTCCTTTGTTTGTTACTACCTTGAGGCTTTATTGGAAACATGCAGGAGATTCTGAGGTTATTCACTACCCACAGCCTCCAAAATGGATCCTGTCTCCTAAACAAGAAAGCTAAACAGATTCAGAAAAGAAATAATTTTTAAAAAAGGAAAAAAAAAAATTTTACAGAGCTGCTTCATTATACACTGCCCACCAGGGTCCATTCTCCCTTAAAAGTAGCCAGTTCTAAAAACAAAAAAATAGAATCATGTGACAGGTACTGCAATGCACTCAGGTAAATCAGTTTTGTGCCTCTCTGTCGCTTAGAATAGAGTTAACACTGAATGATAGGAAACATTCATGTATGGGTGAAGGGAAAAATAAGAATATTGATGCCTGTAAAAAGCAACTTGGAAGTGGCAGAGACATTATAAACAGTATTTTAATACGATGTGAAGTACAAGCACTTGATACAGAGGGGATGATATATTGATTTTCCTCATTCTGCACTATGCATGTCAGTAAGATCAATGGAAGTCACAAACCTGTATCAAGGAAATTATAATATGTGGAATTATTTATAGAATGGCTGCTTCAGGTGCACATCAATTGCAGCATCATAATGGCCAGACTTATGACTGAGGATAAAGCCATCCATTATATATTGTAAATGATAAAGCGTGCATTCCCATCATTTCTTCGTTCACCACATTTTTCATATGTGAATGGAAAAACTAATAGAAGGATTCTCATACAGCCTTTTTTATAAAGAAGTAATAAACATTGTATAGTTTATCACTAAAAGATAACGATTCCACTTACAAACTAGGTCTAAAAAAACAACTACAGGCATTATTTTCCAAAACAGTGTTATGCAATGTACACCAAAGCAAATATGCTGAAACTTTGGGAATCACTTCTGGATTGCTCAAAATTCTGGGGACCTTGAAGAAGCTGAAAAGAAGCAGCAGACAGAAGTCCAGCATCTCCAAGCTTCTGGTAGCAAGAAAGCACGAATCTGTAAGCACATGCTTTTCTTTTCCAACAGCAAAAGCTGTGTCAGCACTGGTAGACAAAGAAAAAGTCATACAGCCACACAGGTACCTTTATAATTTTCATATCTCAAAATTATGGCATTTCCAATAAAGTATGCTTTTGAATCACCATTTACTTCTACAGCTCACTTAGTTTCACAGTAGTCTTTATCTCCTACTGTTAACTCTTAAAATAAGCCTTTCAAAGGTCAATCCAAACTGTTACGATTCTGGATGTTAAATTGAATTTTTCATGTCTCCTTGTTCTTTTGAAAGGCTTAAAAGCAATTTGTGGCAATCAACACAAAGAGATTTGATTGACAAAGTTTAATAAAGTGATCTAGAGAAGATTCATTGGGGAAAAAACTGCTAAAATTGCAAATTAAACAGCAAATAGTTTGTCTGCCCTTGAAAGAAAATAGGTTCTTTTAGATGTGAAAATCATTCTAAAAGCTTCTGAAAGTACCTAATGAAATTTTAGAAATGCACAGCATTATCTTTCAGATCTGCAAAAGTAATCAAATAAAAAAGAAACTACAAAAGGACAAGTGCCACAATAGCCACCAAACAAGTCTGTTGGCGTCATTCACACAAACCTCAAAAACACAGTGGCCAAACTTCCCCCAAATGAAATACAGGACATTTAGCTAAACACCTGTGGAAATCAAGGGGTTTTGCTCCTCTCCATTGCCTATCTGCTCTTTCCTTCCCAGTTGACTGTCTCAAAATGCCTTTCTCTGCGACCTCCTTTCTCCATCTGCAGACAGGAGAGATGCCCAGCTGGAGGATCCCTGCCAGGCCACGCCGGCAGCAGTGCTGCCACCCTTCCAATACTGCTCCAGCCCAGGGGAGTGAGCAGCAGTCGCTGCTGAATTTGTATCTGCATAACCCTGCTTTGGAAAATAGCAGCAAAGATACAAAAACCCCCAACCCAAAGACACATCTTAAACTGCCAGGCCAACTCTCAATGGGGCGGGGAGAAATGCTATGCTCCCTTTTGACATTTTTACTTTTCGGTTCTGAATTTTTGGGCTTTCATTGACCAACTCACGAAGGAAAATAAGTATTTTGGGAGGGAAAAAGAGTATTTTGGGAGGGAAGAAGAGTAATTTAGGAGACAAAATGAGTAATTTAGCTGGTTTTTAAAGAAATTTTATTTCTAAACCTCTAGTCATGTGAACAGTGTTGGACTGATAGCACCTATCATAGTTAGAAGATTTATTTCTCTCTTTTGTAATGGTGCTTCAACCTCATATACGCATTTTCTGGTTTAATTTTTAAGTATTATTCAGATTTTTTTGTCTTTACACCATTCTCATGTGACTTCAAATTACTGTTACCTGCAAATACAACTGATGTATTAATTTTCTCAAGTTTCAAATCAGTCACATGACATAAACCTACTCAGAATCATTTATATTTTGAGCTACAAAAACCTACTAGATTTTCTTTTACTAACAAGTGCAGGGTTTTTAAAAATTATATTAATGTCTATGAAAATTTTCCAATCAATACTACTCTATTAAGTGCTATTCTAACATTATGGTGATTTCATGTAATAAATTAGTTTTCCTGTACCTGGTAACTTACTGTAGCTTACACACTTTTATATTTATTGGAGACATAACAGAAAAAAAAAGCATTTGAAATGCCAACAAATGAAATTTAACACAGGAAACTCAGAATTCATTAATGATAAAACATGTAGTTATGAAAGACTGCACAAAACTCATTCACTCAATTGCTACAGAGACTGAGGGATTTATGCAAGGGACAATAAATCCGAAACAATACAGCTCAATTCAACACACCACATTTCACTGCATTAGCAGCACCTTGTGAACTAAACCATCTCAGCTCATTTACTCTTTATAAAATTACCTTTTTTTCTTTAGAAAAGCTATCTTTGCCAAAGGACAAAGGGCAAACCTACAGTATTAATCTACACATCAAACACCTATTTTGGCAATAATAAATATGAAGGTCCAGAATTACCCATTATAGACTGTAAACATGATTGTTTACTTATTTGAGCCTTACAAATCCACCATACAAACAATTTGTGTTTCACAAAAGTCCAAGATACGATTCAGTTACTTCTTTGCAGGCTGACCAGACTAATTTCTATTAGTTTTGCAGTGACCTTTGTTATATGTTATTCTAAAGCTGGGGGTACACATTTTAAAACTCTTATAGACAATATGATTAAAACTTTTATGATATGATTGAAACTATATGATTAAGCTCATTAAAACTAATGATGAAAGTTTCTTTAGATAATCTAGCATCTAGATTAATTTTAAGATCAAATCTTGTTTGCTCAATAAGGTTTTTTATTCATCAAAGACTCAGGCAATGAGAAATCTTTACCTCTTTTAATTACACATTCCTGATAACATCAGCCTCAATTTCCGCATAGTTGCAATTTAGAATAAAACATGTTTTAATCAACTTCTTCTAAAGCACAGTAAAGATTTTATCAGATATTAACGGCAAACACCACCAGTCCAAACCTACTTTGATGTTTCTTTTCAATAACACAGACTAGTAAGAATTGCCATCTGTAAAAAATGATTTTTTTTGCTTTCTCAGTATTTGTGTGAATGTCGAACAAATTATTTAAGGACTGTGCAAATGTTTTTAAAAATACACTCAAAACTGAAATATAACTTTTTTTTTTTAAAGTAACTGCTGTTCAGACTGCTGCTCAGATTCTACAGTCAGTGAGCTGACCCTTGCAAAGTTTCACATATCTATCTCAGAAACTGCTAATTACTGATAAAACACACAGCTGCAAAGACCCTGCACTCCAGAGGTGACTCACCAACAGCTGGGCTGCTGCTCAGCTAAGCTTGGGCTCTACTAGGCATTTAGAACCAGCCTTAAACTTAAACCCTCTGTGCTGCCAGTCCTAGCCTAGCTCAAAGTGCATGGAGCCCCACCTACCTCCTCATGCAATCCAGCGCCCGAATGAAGAAGTCTTTGTGCAGTTGGTGCTCGTCCCTCAGGATGGAGCACTGCTCCAGCGTCACCGACATGGATGTCCTGTCTTTGGCACTTTTGCAGCAGGTGAAGCGCACTCCGTTCAGCTTCCGGCAAATCTGAGGCACAGGTAGGGCACACAGGTTAGCCCTTCTCCACCAGGCAGGCTATGCAGCACCTGCAACTCTGCAAGCCTAAGAAAGTGTCTCCAGAGAGATACAGCATTCCTCAAGAAGAAAGCACCTACTAAAAGTTAGTACTGGTGCATTCAATTCCTAAACTTGAAATAGGATTTCTATAATGATAAAAGAAACCAATCTTTTTCCTCACTTAATCTAGCAACCACCCTGTTCAATGAAAACTTAATTGTCTGAATAACTAATGAATAAAGAAAAACCTTGAATCACAAACATGAATGCAGCAGACTAACTTCTTGTGAAGGTATGGAGTCAGACACATCTGAACTTCAATAGTTTTTTATTTTCAACAGGTAAACTGTTCAATGTATGACTCCCATTTAATAAAGTTTAACACAAATGACTGCCATGGATTGTCTACTTTCACTTATACTTTGAAAAAGTAATAACGCATAAAAGAAACGTGACATTTTGGAGGATGATTTATCCCTTTAAGAATCAACCTGTGGTTGTACCATTCCATTAGTTTCAACTTCGGTTTCAAACAATATTTTACTAGAAAAAATAAAAATTTGAAGGACAGCTGCTGTTCCCAAGTGTGGGTCTACTTTTCCCCAGATATAATTTATCCTGAGAAACGGTAATACTTTGCTTTCACCTATCCCTGGAGAATCACAGGTATAATTGTATGACACCTCAAAATGTTTGTGAGACTAGGGCAAGGCAATAAACTACAGCAGTAATCACAAAAAGGAACTTCCCACATTGGCTATCATGGGAGAGCTTGAAGGATGAACTGGAACATGATCTCACCAATGTCAGTTCAGCAAATAAGTGTTTCTTCATCTGCTAGTTGCATTTCCATAAATTCTATTAAATCAATAAATACTATTGAAATCTATTAAAATTAGAGAATACTTAAGAGTCTTTAAGTTCTTTGTGATACCATGGTGAGAGCAATCTCAAAAGTTTAATTTAGAGAAACAGTTAAGGGAATCTTACTTAGAACCCAAAGAGCTACAGGATAGTGAAGGGGAACCTACGAGTGTTTCTTCCATCCTATAATTTAAAATTTTAAAAGTTAAATCTGTTTTAAAATTTGAACAGTTGCACTGGGATTTAAAACATGTACTGTAGGGTAATTTTCTTGAATAATGGTGTGAAAGAAGTTAAGCATTTCATTGAAGAGATTAATTCTCTTTGCACTAGTATCTTTGGAAGTCCATAATTCATGGGGCTATTTGATGAGAATGAGTCCTAAAAAATATTTAAAATATTAAAAAATCATTTAAAAATAAAGTAAAAAAATCTCAGCTAATTATTCTGTATGAGTGATGGGCTCTGATGTAGGGAGATATAGGAGGACAGGAAAGACAACTTCTATTAAATTTATTCTTACAGTCCAATTATATCAGGGATTCCATGCAATAAAAAAAGTGATATTGCACATCTACTGCACTGAAAAAGTTTTATTCTTACATCTTTTTCAATAAAAAAATGGAATATAGTATAACAGTGGGAATATCACTGGAACCAGAAAGTTAAAGTAAGGGAACTTAAAAAGAAATAGAATTCAGCGAATGAAAATAATGAAACACTTTGTATATCCAAAGAATGCTTTTTACCCATTAAATTATTTTCAGAGAACTTAGAATAGATGGTAAAATACAACTTTATCTACCCAGAGATTTAGCACACTGTTTTGTAACTAAGTTTATACTGTACCTTTTACTTTTTTAAAAGCAGTGTTTCATAGTAATTGCAAGACTGGTACTTCAAGAAAAACTTGAAACTATTTTTCCTTACAAAGCATTTATACGGCAATAGCATGTGATAATATTTATTAACCACATGGCAAAATGTTATTATTAGTAATAGGAAAGTTATTAATACAAAAATACAGCTAAGATTGTATTTTCCTTGGTGCTAATAAAAAGTAATGGAAAACATTATTAATATTTTTATATCAAATATTTATTTGCATTGAAGGGTATATACATTTGAAAGTCTCCCAAAACACAAAACCTTACTTCACTTTCAGTAGATGCCAAAAACTCCCTGCTGGTATAAGGGAGCAGAGATACCAAGGGTACTTTTCTAAATATAAGACAACCATGTGGCTGAAATTCACAGTCCTGAAAAGCCTGAGCTCTCTACAAACATCTAAGAGTTGTTTTCCTGCCCTTTTAATTTTTTTAATATGCACGTGCAAACCCCACAAAATTGGGAAGCAAAAAGGAATTATGGGGAAAAAGTAAAATAAGTATTAATCACTGTTAAATAAACAATTTTCTTTGTGTTCTCCCTATGTCTGATTGTCTGTCCTTTGCATGTCTTTTGCAACACTTATTTGGGAAAATTTGAATGCAGCAATAGCAAAAAAAAAAAAAAAAAAAAAAAAAAAAAAAAAGCAGTCATGTCCCACATCATATATAAAGGACACTAAAAAAAAAAAGAAATTATTTTGAGTAGCTTTATATTATTAAAGAATGGACAGTAAACAAATCACTCAAATTCTAGCAGGTTCTACTAGCTTAAAATGTAAAAAAAAATTTGTCATCTATTTAGGTGGAGGAAGAAGAGATAAATTCAAGAGTGAAAGGAGTGACTATGAGAATGAGTATGTTAGAAATTATAACAGCCCATCTGCCTCCTTTAACCAGTGAGTTCTCCAATCATATCCTTAAAATCCATTGCACTTACAATATCAGCAAGCTTATGAAAATGAGTTCACCATTAGTTCATCAATTTTTTTGAAACAAGAGAGTTTACCGTTGCAGCCAGCCACATGATTTCTACATTCTTTCTCTTTTTAGCCTGGATATTTTGATGAAGACTTTCTAGCAATTCCTTTAAATCATTTTGTTCTTGAAAATGTGGTAAACCTGGAAAAAAAGGATGATAAAATTGCTCATTTTGATAAGGTTGGTGATATGCTTGTCCTGACTAAAAAATGCTCATGGTAAACAACAGGTCTATTATTTACAGCCTTTTTTTGGAACACATGGTGAAAATTACCAGCTAAATATTTAAGGAATAAGCAAACCTTATGTCTTTCTGAGTATTGCTTTGGCCTCCCTAAGATCTTCATGTGGAAATTTAAAGTATCTTCAACCTTCATCTTACAAATGGATGGTGAAAAACAAAATCAAATCTCTGCTGTAGTTCTCTTCATCACATATTACAGATATTCAATAGAAATTGGGAAAAAAACCCTGAGTGTATTATAACTTGCTTTAGTGAGATTTTTCTTTATTTTAAAGTTAAAAATTTTGGGTTTGCTTTCAAATTGAAACATCTAATTATTGTTTTGAAATGTGCCTTAGATTTTCATATAATGTAGCATAAGGGTTAAACAGCACTAAGTATCCCCTCTAAAAAGTAACAAAGTATATTTCTCCTGAAATTAGTGGGGTTTTATTTTGAAGTAGAAAATAATTTCAAGTTTACTTAAAATCCAAAATTTTACCTGCTAGTTCTGGGTATGGCATTTAAGCTGAAGTTTAATTTATCCTACATCTCAAGCAAAAATTCAAGAGTAGGCAATTTAATTTCCCCCTCTGTTTCATATGTATATAGAGGACATTTTTTTCTAATGTTACATTTATCTTCACTACTTTTGAAAATCAATAAAAACAAGCAGAATCTGTTTTCTGAAATTATTTTTTCTCTGCGTGGCAAAGTAAAAAAAAAAAAGCAATTATAGTTACCACCAAATAAAGGGCTCAGAATCAAGTGAAACAAAGTGAAACTAAATTAATCAATGGCTACAGTTTCTTCAAGAAGAAAAAGTAAATTGTCCATCCAGTGAGGGAAAAAAGCCTCCCACAACCAAGGCCCCAAACCCAAGCCCAAAGACTTAAACTCAATTGAAAGAATAAAAATGAGGGAAGTATTAATGAAGGTCAATATCCATTCTCCTAACATGTTCCAAGTTGGAATGATCCCTACTATCAACAGGCTTTTACCTTTTACTTCTAAGAAATTCTGTAGTTTCCCTTATCCATGACTCATAGTAAGAAGCAATTTAAATATATTCAAAAAGAACTAAGTTTCTTTCACACTGTGCTGTCTAAAAAAACTCACAAACAAACAATAAAAAAAAGAAAAAGGAAGGAAAAAGTACATCCAACCTAGTTTTGCAATAATTTTAATGTGGATTGTTTTAACTGTGTATCACAAGTTCTGATTGTACACTTACATAATGCATAGCACATAAAAACACATCACACTCTGCTAGACTATTACCCTTATGGATGCATCTGTTTCTTTAAAACACAGAGCACACAATGACAAAGATGCAATGAGATTATGCAAATGTATCACAAAACATTTTATTCCAGGCAGTTCTGGTTCACAGCAGAAAATGTGACATCTCAGAGGGGTGTCTTCACCACAGGTACAACAAGAGTCTCCTAATTTAGAGTACTGCCAAATGAGTTGCACCTTGACTGGAAATGATCAATTGCTTAAACTCCTTGGGTCCCCCACAGTATTAAACCACCAAATCAGGCTTACAGTTTATAAGGGGGAGGAACCTGGAAGTACCTAACAGCTTTGTTGTTTTCAGTTAATTATGTGCTACTAAATAACAACCTTACATTTTTGGACTCTTACTATCCTTATAATATATGGCACATAGCATTTCTATAAAAGTGGTACCATTTGGGTGCTTCAATCAGAGCTATATTTGGTCAGCATTTTTGATAGGAACCTTTCTGGGAACACACTCTTATTTTCAGTTTCTGCTAAAATAATTTAAGAGGTTAAGAAATAGGTAAATTATGAAGTGTATGTTCATCTTAAAGAAGACAGAAAATCAGTGGATGCTTAGTTACAAGCAAGGAGAAATACAGACACGAGAGGAAAACTAAAATTGCAAAGGTGGCAATACCTTTCTGGGACTGGAAAATTGAATTCTTTGAAAGGGAATATATGATTGAATCAGCAGGCCAGGGAGGCTGCCAAGGGTGGATGCAACAGCCTGGCAAATAGGGCTGTGAGTCCTCAAATTCTGTTGGACTTTATGAGCACAGTTTGGAACTAACAGCTTTGGAAACACAGTCCTGCATTTATTTTGTAGTACAGATTTGGCACTACAAGAAATTATCTGGATAGGTGGAACAAAACCATCAAAGAACCATCAATACTGAATGTCTCTCACTTGGCCCCAGCACCAGGGCTTCTGCCAGCCTTATATGGAGGTTTGTCTTTCAGAGTGGGGGAACAGGAGAGGGATTAAAGTCCTCCTCCAAATGAACAAGTTTTAGAGCTTCACTTTTTTCCCATTCAGCTGATTTAAAAGGTACGTTTCTCCAAGGTAAAAGAGTGATTCCATATACTGTCACGGAGCTACTGGGAAGGGCAGTGGTATCAAAAGGTGCTTTGGGTTCCATAAAAAATTGTATAAAGAAGTGACTCAGTTCTTAAAGGTAGAGAAAAAAGCAAGAATGTTATAATAACCAGAAAAGACATGATGAACTAGACAAGATTAGCTCTCAAAAGCCTTCACAATCTGGAAGAAGTCCAGGAGCTGTGTGGCTCCCTAATAATCCTGCAAGGAAGGCAGTACAAGTTTAAAATCTGTTAATGAAAAGCAGCCAATATTATCTGAATGCAAATTTTTGCTTTTATAAAATAAAATCTATTTATGAGATAGCAGATCTACCTTAGTCCTCACCTGGATGAGGTTAGTTTTTCAAGGATATTTTCTTGGGAAGATTCCCCTAAATTAATCACCCAACTTGTATGAGTTTCTCTGTAGACATCCTAGAAATACTAGGTCTGTGGGTGGATGGATGGGCATCCTGCCCACCATTTAGGAAGAGAGCTTTTGTTTCTGTCAAAATTATTAATAAATTAAAATCATCCTGATGTAAGAGATAAACAAGTATTCATATGTATGTGATGTATCAAAGCTTTACTTAGTATTTAAAAATCAGGCTGTTAAATCAGCAACATTTGGTACTATAGTTTGGGCATTAAAACTAGCAGGATTAGATTGATGCAAATGTTTTTTTCAGTCCTTTCTTTTGGCAATCAATAATAACAGCATAGTAATGTTTATGTTTATAATACCGAATTTCTATAGAAGTGGAATACAGGGCCTATTCTAATGAAACCTTGCTATTCATATAATGATGATGTGGCTCATTGCTTGTATTTGCAACTGCAGATTTCTCAGTGGTTCACCAAACCTCAACACATTTTCAGAATAAGAACAGAGGGTATGACTTAAGCTGATGAAATTTCCCACCAAGTACTTCTGTACAAATAGAGTAGGTACAGACTGACCTCTACATGAAAGATTAAGAAACTTATTTTAATAACTTAAAATAGCTGTTCAGTTCATCATTCCTCTGTTTCATTTTCTCTGTAGTTTCTGCTGCAGCACTGGGCCTGAAATCACTCTTGAGATCAGCAGGGTCATGCACAGATACAAAATGTTTAAATTTATGGAACAAGTTATAGAATTTTGCTAGTATTACTGTCTTATAACCTTTTACCCATCAAAGCTTTTCAAAGCCATCTGGACACTGCATTATTTTGTACTCACAATCAGGAGGCATTTTTTCCGTAAATAACTTGTAATATTCTTTGAGAAGTTCTAAGTTTTCCTGGTTAATGTTTTCCTGCAAAGTGGTATCTCCAAACCTATGAAAATACACAATAAGTTATGAAAAAAAACCCAAAACCCATAAACCAATAAAAGGATAAATTATCCTTCATAATTATTTATTTGATAAAGAAATAACTTAGGTTTTATATTACTTGTTTTATAGCGCTGAATGCATTAGATTTTGTCAAACATGCAGTAGTTAAGCTCTTGTATGCTTTGGAACTAATTTTGGAAACGAGATCATCGCTGATGCATACTTCTTCCAAAAGTTTATTAACAAAGCCATCTATTTACAAACATGCAATAAGGTACTTAAGTTTTTTGCCCTCACAAATCCTGAATATATGGAAAGGCACTTTGGGGGAATTCAAAATGGTACCATAGGCAGAGAATACCAACTCCTCCATTCTTTTCAATCAAAAATATTCTCGAGTGTATTCTATCAAAAAACAAATAAAAAGATGGCTTTTTCTAATAGAGTAATGTTTCCTAGAAATTTGCCACAGAAATATTTTTATATTCTCATGTTCTTTTTCCCACAAAAACCTCCGTATTTTTAACCAAAAATCATGTACAATGTTTACAGTCTCAAAAACAAATGCGCAACTTTAGGAGTTAAGCAATATTTTGATTTAAGACAAAAACAGACTGTAACTGCATGCAGATAAGCTGTTTCTGCATTGAACTTATTTGCTTAGTAGATGTTAGTACATATCCATATTTATAGATATGTGGCTGTTAAGTTTTCTCTCATAGCTTTCATTGTGCACAATGTAAAATGACCACTGGGAACAATACCTCCTGCCACTTCACTTGCAAGCCAGGCATCTTTTCATGCCAACTCCTCTACAAGCCCCAGGTAATCAGGCTATTTCTAAACTGTGTCAAATTATTCCTCAGAATATTCATAACACTCTGTCCTTCCTGCCAATCTCCCACATATAAGCTCCCACTAGCTTGCTTCTTGGTTACCACATCATATCTTATCTCTTATTTTTTGAGTATCCCACTCAGAACTGTCGCGACAGATTTTATTGGTTTTGCACATTTTCAATTTGGCCATGTCATTCCTCTCAGTGCTTTCCTCTTTATGGCATCAAGAATAACCTATTTTCATTTTCAAGAAGTTCCCAAGTTCTCGAACCAACTATACAACTCTTTCACCAGTAAAATTCCACTTTTTACAGTCTTTTCATTCAGTCTATGTCTCCCACTTCAATTTTCTGCCTAAATTTTCTCACATATCACCACTCAACTTGGAAAAGTGTCCCATAAGCATTCACAAAGCTACCTAATGGCATTCTTTAGTGGACTTCTTTAAAAGACTGATTTTATTTGGCTGTCTACAATGAGCAGGAGGTGAAACTCCTGGGATGCTTAGCTTCTTGCCTATTGTCCAGGTTAAGAATTTTCACTGTTTCCCTCTATTACTCCAGCTACAGCTTTGCCAAAGCTTTTGGCTTGTAGCGAACACAACCTAAAGATAAGTATTACGTATTTTGGATTCTCTGCTAATAAAAGCAGCTAAAAGGAAAAAAAGTTTTAAAAAGTAGCTGTCTATATTGACATCTTGACTTCTATCTTGCCGTTTTAGTACTGCACAAATGTGGTAATTGAACGTGACCGACAGATACCCCTTCTTGGCAGAGAAAATTAATAGATTGGAGAAATTTTGAGTATTATTATACTAATTAATTAGTATAATAATAATAATAATAATAATTATTATTATTATTATTATTATTAATAATAATAATAATAATAATAAGTAGTAGTAGTAGTAGTAGTAGTTATATTAATTAGTTTCTAGCAATCTGCTGCAGCAGAATACTAATAACTTTATCAGCCTTCACATTTCTACAAACATACTACTAATGCATTCCCTGTTATTAACTACCATTCCAAAACCCTGGAAAAAAGCCCTAAAAAACTGAGACAACTTATCTAGCTTATCACTTGTCCAGACTGTTTAACCCCATCTTTAAAGATATAAGAATTTTGAATTTTCAAACTTGTTTGAGAATTTCGAAATACTACATACAAACAAAATTCTGCATCTGAGAAATAGAAATCCATTCTGCATCTCTATCCAAGAGAAATGTGGCACCAACTCTGTGAAATGAAGCTTTGCTTATGGCCTTATCTTCATCTGGACTTTTTCATTGTTCTACATTGCTTCATAGCTTGTGTTTATTTTCTTTAATACCTTTGAAAATACACACTGAGTCAATGTGAGATTGTCCAAGAGCAAATAACAAAAAAGATATATTTCTAATCCTGAGAGATGTCCTGTACCAGCATGGAATACTTGGACAGAAAATGAAACATGACTTATTCTTACCTCTCTGCCAGTGTTTGCTGTTCATTGATTCCAACATTAAAGAGCACTGGATACATGCGAAGCAGCTTTCCTTCTTTAATCTCTTGCGGCAGCAGCTCAAACATCTTTGCTGGAAGCTGGACCTCTATAATGTAATGTTCACTAGGGAAAATAAAAACATGAATAAGGATGGGGTTCTTCACTGGTCTGCTTAAAATAATCTTCCTAAATTACAAAAAATGTGTAGAATTACAAATCCCTCCTTTTTTCCCTTAATTGAACCTTAAAAAGGGATGATTCAGCTTGCTTGTTTTAAGAGCATATCCAAGTATATGAAGAAAGGCAGCTATAACTGTATATAACTATAAACAAACTTCTTTACAAAAGTGAAAAGAGAACTAAGGATGAAAGCAGCAAAAAAGTCCTCTGCTACCAAAATATCAATAAGAATATCTCAAATCTTAAAATGCATCTTGCTGAGTTACAAAAACAACTTACTTCCAAAGTCACAAATTGATCTGGTATCCACTCTAAAAGTAATATAAGCAAAAATATTTCATAAAAACTCAAAGTAAAACTCACATTTTCTTCAGTGTTTGGATTTTCTCCCTAGGGGTAGAAAGCATCACCAACAACTAAATTGCCTCAGTGAAGATAATAACTGAAGGCTCATCACATAAACATGAATCCTGTTTTAGGAGAAGGGATATGATATATAGAAGTTGCGGGCTTATATTTGTGTTCAGTCTGACATAATGAAAAATGTGCTACTTTGGCTGCCAGGCCAAATTCTGACCACATGGAAGCCCCAAGTTGGATTCCACCTGCCTTTGAGAATTGGTGCCTGACCCCACAACAGAAAGAATGGCATGATGTTATCTTAGCTTTTATTAGCTTTCTTTGCATTGTTGGAGCAACCAATCCAAATTTTTTTAAAAAAAAGAACAGACTAGAAGAAAATCCATTTGTTTTCAGGATCTGGTATTTTAATCAGAAAGGGATGACTGATAATGGAGGCTGAAATTTTCACTCCTGCAGAGAACATTTGAAGTATGACACCAGCAACAAGAAGTGTTACAGCAACAGGAGGGAAAGAAGATCTATCCTGCCTACAGAGGTCAGGTCAAGGAAGTCACTCAAGTTTTGCATGTAAATTTAAGATGGATAATTGTTTGCACTTATGTAAATAATCATGAAGTTCCTCCAACTCTTCAATCACATACTTGCTAAATAATAGAAATGCCATCCAGATTACCCTCTGGAGAATTTGGGTGAGAAAAAGACAGAAAACCTTGAAGAAAAAATTCAATTTCTGCAGTAGCTCTGACACCTTTAGGAAGCTTGAGGGATGACTGCACCAGCTCAAGTGTTTGGAAAAACAGATTCCACTTGGAAGAGCTAGTGGTCACGTTTAAACTTTATCCTGCTCATATATCTGAGAAAAAAGTAAAACGGGTCCAGTGCAGACCTGTGACTGCAATGTAATTGCATTCAGCAAGGGCAGCAACATCTGCTTAGTACAGGCTAGAACTGGCATGCAGTCTTTGAGCAAATGCCAGATGCTCCCCACTGAGAGGGAATATTAGTCCTGAGTGGAGAATACATGTCTCAGGGATGGGGGGAACAAAAAACAAAATAGTTCTACTTCCCAGGTAAGTTTGTGTTTTGTTTAATTAATTCACCCATGTGAAAGAAATAGAGCGTTAGCAAAAAGGATAGTAAAGAATGTGGTTCCCATGACCTCTGCATAGCAGCATTAATTCTCAGACTGCCTGAGAGCCCTCCTGGCTGCTGTCAAGTGCTACCAGAACACTGCTCTGATGGAGTGCTTTGATGAACTAGAAAAGAAACATTGGTTTAGTCTAATTCAAAGAGCATGCACTACAGAACCAAACTGCCACCAAATCACTGCATTGTTACATTTCACTACTCCCAAAATCACTACAAATCTCTGCATGTGAAAGAACACTGAGAAATGTTGATCTTTAGGCATGACAAATTAGTATCAGAACAATTTGAGACTTCCCCCCTTGTCTTTTTTTTTTTCTTTTTTTTTTTTTTTCAAAACACTTTTTGAAGTCTCAGAGATAATCCTTGGTAACTTTAAAAACTATGTTACCAATTGAACAATGAAAACAATGCATTTCTGATTGTGGACAGAAAAGGCCTAAAGCTATGACAGAGCTGTCTAGAAAATCCAGAAGTAGTACTGAAGTCAAGTGGAGGCAAAAAAAGAAACAATTTAAAGTATAGGAGGACTAGAAGAAATCTGGAGGGCTTGTTTGACATCAGTTTGCCAAAATCTTGCAGGTATATGATTCTACTTAAAGAATAAAAATTAATATAACATTAAATTTTATTGTTATACGCTTTCTCTTTTTCATGGCTAGATTCAGTGCAGAGCTATCAGGCAGGAGATGGATTAGGTGGGTACAACATTTTCCAATGAGATGGAAAAATCAGTACATAATTTTTATCATTTAATGACCTTCCAGGAAAACAGAGTGGAGAAAGCAAGCATGTGTTTTAAGAGACTAAATAATAAATCTTTATCTATTTAAGAAGAAACTGTATAAATATAGGTCTTAAATATTTAAATGTCTATGATTTGCCTAAACAGGACTGCTTAAAAATATCCCTCTCTTTCTTTGCATTATTCTCTAATATTTGTTATCATCACATATGAAGACAGACAAACACTTGTAATCCTGGTAGAATGTTTCTAAAAGGTAACCCCCACATGGCTGGGTGTCACAGATCCTGCAGCTGTTTTGAGTTGGCTGAAATTGCACACCTTTAGCTCATTGCAGTAAACCCAAACCAAGTAATTTACATGAACTTTGTTTTGTAAAAGAAAAAAATGCACACATGGTCAGTCACAGAAACTCAACTTGGAGGTTCTTTACCCACCTCTTCTTTCAGCTGAGTGCAATGTTTTAGATTACTTCAGCATGGCTTTAAGTGCTAGTCCAGTCTTGAAAACATGGTGTAAGAGACTGTGATACCTCAAAGTTCATGTGCACAATCATAGAATGGTTTGGGTTGGAAGGGACCTTAGAGACCATTTAAATTCAACTCCTCTGCCACGGGCAGGGACACCTTTCACTAGACCACATTGCTCAGAGCCCCACCCAATGAACACTTCCAGGGATGAGGCATCAACAACTTCATAGTGCAATCTGTTTTAGTCTCTCACTACCCTCAGAGCAAAGAATTTCCTCCTAACATCTAATCTAAACCTCCCCTCTTTTAGTTTGAATCCATTTCCCCTTGTCCTGTATCTCCACACCTTTGTAAAAATCCCTCTCAGGCTCTCTTGTAACCCCATTTGATACTGGAAAATGCTGTAAGGTCTCCCCAGAGCCTTGTCTTCTCTAAGCTAACAGTCCCAAGCCTCTCAGCCTGTCTCCATGAGAAATGCTCCAGCCCTCTGATCGTCTTCATTAAACCCTCTGGACTCTTAATAGATCCAAATCCTTCTTATGTGGGGTCCCAGACCTGCCTGCAGCACTGCAGGTGGGGTCTCATGAGAGTACAACAGAGAGGGAAAGCCATCTTCCTTGTGGAGATGGTCACACTGCTTGTGATGCAGCTCAGGATACAGCTTTCTGAGCTGCATTCTAATAAGTGAACCACCTAGTTGATCTAGGAAAGCCAGTGGACATAACCCTTTTGGATTTTAGCGAAACTTTTGATACAGTCTGTCCATACTTCTGGACAAAATGTCCAGCACACAGCTGGATAACCATGTTATGCAATGGGTGAGCAACTGGCTTACAGGTCGGGCACAAAGGATTATAGGGAATGGGGTGACATCAGGCTGGTGTCCAGTCACTAGTGGGGTTCTGCTGGGCTCCATCCTTGGCCCTGTGCTCTTCAACTTCTTCAAAAGACTCAAAGGAATGATAAGTAAGTTTGCTGATGATGGTGAACTGGGAGGAGGTGTCAACTCCCTTGAGGGAAGACAAGCCCTGCAGAGACCTCAAGAAATTAGAGAGATGGGCAATCATCAGTTGTAGAAAGTTCAACAAGGGCAAGTGCCAGATT